ACTGCAATAAAACAAAGAAAGTGGCAATATACTGGGCACACTCTGAGACGAAATCAGCAAAGAATGACAAAACAATCACTCAAATGGGAAACAAATTGTCTGAGAAGAAGAGGACGTCCAATGGAAACATTAGGTAGAACATTATTACGAAACGCTATAAAAGCTGGGCTGAACTCCATGTCATAAATCGAGCGAGTTGCATGCATTATAGCGGAGATGAGGAAAATCTAATGCGAGCCTTATGTTACGTCCAGCGGCACACAAGTGATGATGATGATAATTTGCATTACATATGGTTCGTTCTTGATTGCTTGAATGAGAAAAAAATGACTTCAGAGAAAAGTAATTCATGACGGGCAAACAAAGGTTGAAGAGATTTAAATCTAGGGAGTGGAGGAACGGGAAAACAGCAAACTGTGTGAACCGTGGAAGTAATTTCTGTCCGAGAGTATTGAGAAGAAATGATAGAAAGTTCACTGGGGGAAACAGTTTAATTCATTTTACGGTTCCAGAAACACACACACACACACACACACACACACACACCAGTTCTGTGATATCAGATGATCTATTCCATTCAGATCTACACGATCGCCTTTTGCAAACACATTTATATCTGTGTAGGCTCATGTATTTGCATTGAAACACAATGAAGGACATGTTTTTTTAAGAGGTGGGGTAGTCTTGCCTTTGATTCCAAATGGACAGACTATTAGAGGACTTATCTGTAGAAAACGCAACAACGTAAACAGATTAGTAGTAGTAGTAGTAGTAGTAGTAGTAGTAGTAGTAGTAGTAGTAGTAGTAGTAGTAGTAGTAGTAGTAGTAGTGTAGTAGTAGTAGGAGGAGGAGTAGTATAGTAGCAGAAATAAGAGTAGTAAAAATAATAATAATGAGGATAATACTATTAATAATATTAATGACAACAATAATAACAATGTTGGCGGGATGCTGACCACATTAACTCCTTAGTGCCGATTGGTCTGTAAAAATATGGGATGCTCTTTCCATATTTCCGATGCGCCTAAGACATGAAAAAGGATTTTAACTCTCCTAACATGACCAAACAATGATGACTCTCTTTCTGCTGCTTGTGATAAGTTGTCTTCGGACATTCGCCTCTTTCAAAGTATCTGGGTTGCGCTTCTTAGCTGTCCAAGGAATTCTAAGGATTCTTTTGTAAAACAACATCTCCGAGGCCTCAAGATATTTTGTTCGGTTGGTTTATTTACAGCGGTATGTTAAAACTCGTTCTATATAGCATGAGAGAATTTTTATCCTAACCTTCAATGACATGGATTTATTACATTAAATGTTCTTAATTTTGTAAAATGAAATTTTTGGCCTGTACTATTCTATTCTTTATCTTTGTGACACATCTCCCATCGGATGTTATCCGTGTGCCTAGATACTGAAATTTGTGTACATGTCCTAAAATAACGCCTTTGACTTTTATTGTACATTTAGGCACTATTATTTTCTTGGAAATCACCATTAGTTCTCTAGTGAGTTAAAGTTAGTTGCGTATCCTTTACAGGACGTTGCAGAACCAACCCTAACAGCCCCTGACTGTTGTGTGGTTTCTCTAGGCAATTTACACCCAGTAGTTTGCCATTGCTTCTGGACGGTCGGCTTTCTTGATACCACTGTTGAAACCAACGCAAGGCGCGTTGCCTGCAGCTGGGATCGAACCTGGCATCCCGGCATTACGAAGTGAAGCGTTCGCATCGACTTAGCTACAGAGCGCTCTCTAGTGAGTACTGATATATAAAACTGGTGCGAGTAGGAATGTAACAATATATTCTGGACGGAAAAGAAAATCAAAGCTAAGTAACAAAAACAAGGATATCTTATTACAACCCCAATGAGAAGAGCAAAAACATTTACAGGGTATAACAGTTTAAGATATGGAATAATTAGAATTGCCTTATTCAGCAAAATATGACACAAAACAGGTGGAGACATCCTCGGAAAGCTGTTTGTGGACGGCTTAAACAGCTGTGACAAAAATAGTACAATCAGCAGCATACGCCTACACTATCTTCTTCTTCTTCGCGTTTACCAGCTCTACACTCTGGCGGAAAGTTCTGGTTGTTCGTCCACTTCTGGACTGCAGTCCTGCTCCAGAACCTGAGTGTTGCGTGTTCATCAGTTTTACAGATCTGATTCAATTGAATGTAGACTGCTGGTTCCTTTGCCTCTCAGGCAGATGCACTCTGACTTCAAAGAAAGCTCCCTAGTTAGTCGACTCTTACGACATGCTTTTGGGGAGGCAGTGGGTCTATTCTTGTTTTCCTCACAATAGGGCCCCGGAACCCTCACAGGGAACCTACGTTATTAAATAGACTCTCTGTGATGAGCGTGATTTGTGTGGTGGCTTACGGTCACAGCAAGTCGAGCAGAAAACCCGTGCAAGAGACGACGGCACGCGATGCTCGGGCCTGAAGAGATGAACGAAAGAAAGCCCGAAGTTGGTTCCTGGTCAGGTGCGTACCAGAGGTCGAGGAAGATAGTTGTGAGGTAGTGTATTCAATGTAGTTTAACTGAAGTGAACTAATCGTCATGTGAATGATCATTATGGAAGTTAGCAGCGATGACTGTAATAGAAGAAACGGTAACTTGACAGAGTGTGAGAACGAGCTGGCAAAATTTATATGGGAACCTGAGCGCCATTCTGCGCTACTGACTGTAGACAGTTGTGTTTGTTTCAAGGTGGGTAGCTGTGCACGTGTGCAACAAGGTCCCATGAAGCAACATTGCTAGCTAGCATGTGGAAACTTTAGACTGAAAGACAGGAAAGATGCTTGCGATGTTGAAAGCCAGGATTTTTGCAAGTGGGAATGTAACAGTATCTTCTGGACGGAAAAGAAACTCAAAGCAAGGTCATCCCAATACCAATACAGTAGAAATATAGCTGTCTATCAATGTTAAAAGAGTCCTTGTGGCGGAGCGACTAGACGCTCGCCGCAGATCGGAAGGTCGTGGGTTCGCTCCCTGGAGGAGCCGCACTTTTTCAAAAATGACCTTGGCTCCCAGGTCGACCCAGCCTTGAGTGGGTACCGGATGCAGTCCCGGGAAGTAGAGGGGGCCGGCGTGATGCTGACCACATCACACATCTTGTGCCGATTGGTCTATAAAAAATATAGGTCTAGCCCTATATGCCCTATACGCCTAAAGGCGTGGAAAAGGGGCCTTTACTTTTTTTTTTTATATTTTTTTATCAATGTTGAAAACAGCCAGGATTATTGCAAAGGGGAATGTAACAATATCATCTGGACGGATAAGAAATTCAAAGGAAGGTCATCACACTCTTCATACAGCTGAAATATTGCTGATTATTGTAAAAGGACCCTTTTCCACGCCTTAGGTCTTATTGGGCATATAGGGCTACATCTATATTTTATAGATCAATCGACACGCGATTGGTAATGCCATTATCACGCTGGCCGCTTTTACTTCCCAGTATTTTACCTGGTCCCCATTTAAGGGTGAAAAATGTCTGGCTTATTCAGGACCTGAAGCCATGCTCTACAGATCCGATGGCGCTACACCACAGAGGATTGTCGAGTATTGAGTCCCTTTAAAAAATTACGAAGTCTAACATGTAACTGGGGCAGACGTGTGCACAAGGTTTCCCAGTTAACTCCCGTTTCATCCTGAATAGGATCCCACCGATCCTGACTTTTGATCCTCTAAATCTAGATGCTTCAAAAATCCGCCATCGCCAAGTCTTGACCCTATGAAAGTGCTCAGCAGATTTTTAATGAGAACCCGAAAGATGCCTACAAGTGGCGGCTGTGATTTGACAAATATAATTGTAGGATTCAGAATTGCTGTTTTCGGGAAGTGAGTTATTGTGGCTGCCGTGTTTCCCTTTTTATAATTACTATTGTTAGATCGGTTTATTTATTTATTTATTGATACCTATTGCAATTTTATATAGATAAAGGCTTCGGTCGTTTACTGTCTACGTGTATTTACTTTTGCCGAATTTTCTAGATGCATTTTTTGGTGTTCAGAAATCTGGACAGATACCACTTTTTTATTTTCACTAGTTTTGACTTCGGCTATTACAGTATCGATGAGTGTTGTATTACTTGCACCAGTGAGGTAGACTGGTTTGCTGCTATCTTCTAATTGTAGTAAAATTTGTCACACATACTACAGCAAGGTGCGTTGGTGTATTTACCCGCCACTGTGAAATCCTGGTCCCTAGTCTTAAGTAAGTGCCCTTAGTTAATGATCCATTCCTCTACCCTTAACTGGTGAACTGGCGTACAACTCTACTACTGGCTTGCTCTCAAGCACAAGCGCGCGCGCGCAGGCACACACACAAAATCACACACATAAGAATATTATGTCCCGGTGATTGTGACTGTGGATATATAAAAATAGTGCACACATACAGTTGTTAATCAAATTAAAATATCATCATCATCACTATCATTGTTCTGTTGCTCGATTATGCGTCTCATCAGTCTATTCGTCCATTCCATTCTATCGTGTGCAATTTGCTCGATATCATGGATAGAATCCAGTCCAGAACCTTTTGCCTCTCTCATCGACGTTCAATTTTAGAGTTTACGTTGGATGTCAATCTCTGTATTTTCCATGTTTGATGAAAATGAAAATAGCAAATAAAGAAAAATATAAAATTAGGAATAAAATGCGATTGAAAAAAATTTATTTATCAAGTACTTTATTTTGTAGATTTTTGGGATTCTCTAACGTTCCATCCCCACTTTAGACAACCTTTTATTTCGTAACCAATGCAATTCCAAATATAACTGTTTGTTACGATCAAATGGGGTTTCTAGGATATGCTTCTATCTGATTCACATCCTTCAGTTGCAAATCTTACGGCCAGCAGTTGTGGAGGGGAATAATAAACACTACCACCTAACACCGATACTGTAGCTACCACAAGCATTAATTAGTCTTTCGGTGATCCCGCTGAAACAGACCATGCCTTCCACCTCTGTTAGACAAAGAACGCGATTTCATTCTCTGGCTATGGCACGGGCACCCGGAACTTGAACCTCCTGTGCTTCCTGCACCAGTGCACACAACGGACAGAAACATATCACAAGCAGATCATTGAATGTCGATCCCGGGATCCCCCTATGCTCACGGATACGCCCACGGATCGTGATGGCGGCAATGCAGTTAACGATAGGAATAATATATGTCACTGCACATTTCCAGCACACTTCTCCTACAGCTTCTGAGTTTTTGCCAAAGGTGTAGCAGGGTACAAGGTAGGAGATGATGCAGAGACCACAGTTGTCATAACACCCAAAAAGACCATGCTGCCAGTCGCCTGACATCATACCACAGCAGAGTTAGCACCAGTGAGAGGCAGTGTAAACACGGAACATAATAGTTGATTCAGCCTTGAGATTATGGTCGTGGAGAATGTGTGATATTGAACTTTACATGTGTTTTTCTTTGAAACATCTAAGCATGCCAAGTAGGAATAAACAAGGTCACCTGGACTTACGACCCAGTTCCGTTTCACTAAAAGGTCGTAAGTCGAAGTGGTCTTAATTGTAATTTGTATTTTGTCAACATACTTATAATTCAAACGGATTTTTAAAAAGTGTACATGAAACAAAAAGAATAAATCATTAGATGTATAATTATACTGCTAAACTCTATGCATCAGTTCCGTGAACTGTTTGTCCCTGCAATGTATTTTTTTTTTTTCGGGCTGCCTCTAGACGCAACGGAACGGCGTTGGGGATGGGCCTCGGTAGACTAATCCGAGTCTCTGGTGGAAAAGAACGTCTAATCCCTTAAAAGCCATGATGTCCGATTGATGTCTGCCCATGTCCCTGTGCCAATCGCAAAAATCTAACATGTGTCAGATGAACCAACCGTAAACTTGTCACTAGGTCGTTAAGGTAGCCAGCTTGTCTAATTGGCTACCGCAGCGACAGACATATATTTAACTTGGATTCTCACAGTACCCGTTGCATAGTCACCATTTCGTATTGTACCTGTCCGAGAACATCCGATAAAGTGCAGCAGGAAAGCATGTCACAAAAACAAATCGAAGCCTGGGAGTCATGACCCACGACGGCCTACCTTCTGAACTTGTCTAGGAAGTAATGGATCGAAACAATTGTCTACGAGGGATCTTCTACTGATGATCGGGCGACTCCTGTTGTGCATGCTTTCTGGTGGAGCTCTTCTTACTGTCGTCTTTATTTATTGACTATTATTATTTACTTATTTGTGTGGGTCGCATGTGTGGAGGATTGAAGGTCACATATGTGGTAAGCTGTACACATAGAAGCAACTTCCTTTAAGCAAGCCATCAAGGAAGCCGTTGCTGATTGTCACAGTGTGGGCAAGCTAATGATGATGTAGGAGGCTTTTATATGCAACTAGAGTCACAAAACTAATGTATGTTGGGTGGAAGACTGTGAGCCTCATAGCTGTAATATACCAGCTCAAGAGTGTCGGATGTCAGAGTCGTAAAAAGAGTCGAAACATCCACAATGATCTTTATCTTCTAATCGAGGCATCCAAGGATCACAAGTTCGTGACAATCAATCAGCAAGTCCTGTACAGAATGTTAGTCTCCGCCCAGCACACCTGAAAGGTTCTCTGTTTCTAGTAAATTCTCCAGCCCTGTGTGCTTTCATAGCCAATGCATCTTGAATGTACTTTGTTAAAACGTAGACTGAGCCCCTGTAGACTTGGTCGGACTCAGTCGGTAAACATTGAAATTGTCCTTACAAACCGGAAATGGGTCAGTTCAAAGAATACCATCTGACGTTGGCGTATCTAGTCGACGATCAACGCAGTTGGTAAGTGTCATGTATTAATTGGACACGTGTGAAACGATACAGATGGAAATTGCATTATCTGTGGGACAAGCAGTTTCTTCTCTTGAATTCAAGATCTGAAATAAATACAAATAAAATAGAAATCAAGTATGCAGTGGGTATCTACAATACGTGGCTTCGTGTGAGTTATTATTGAACAGACACAATAGCACTACTAAAGGACAATGAGTTAAGGTACGAACTGACAAGACAGCATTCGGGACATTTAAAGCTGGGTGGACAAAGAAGCCGAGGTCAACAACAAGAACAACATCAAAATCGAAATCGATGCCGAAAGCACTGAGGGCAACTTCCCTCCCCCCTCCCCCAATCAATCTCACTTCATCTTCCACATTTTCTGGACACACACATGTGGGGTCCGTGAGTCCTTTTGAGGCGCCTGCCCCGATAATTTTGCAAACGGTCGAAGAGTCTCTTTAAATTAAGTAGAGAAATTATGTTTAGAAGTATTTGCCTATACATTTCCTATTGTTTCTCCACGAATGGGTTCTGTTATAGGGAAAACAAGAATAAACCTGCTGGCTCCCCAACAAGAATGTAACGGGAGACCTGCTGGCTCCCCAACAAGAATGTAACAGGAGATCTGCTGGCTCCCCAACAATAATGTAACAGGAGATCTGCTGGCTCCCCAACAAGAATGTAACAGGAGATCTGCTGGCTTCCCAACAAGAATGTAACAGGAGATCTGCTCGCTTCCCAACAAGAATGTAACACGAGACCTGCTGGCTCCCCAACAAGAATGTAATAGGAGACCTGCTGGCTTTCCAACATGAATGTAACAGGAGACCTGCTGGCTCCCCAACAAGAATATAACAGGAGACCTGCTGGCTTCCCAACAAGAATGTAACAGGAGACCTGCTGGCTCCCCAACAAAAATATAACAAGATACCTGCTGGCTCCCCAACGAGAATGTAACAGGAGACCTGCTGGCTCCCCAACAAGAACATAACAGGAGACCTGCTGGCTCCCCAACGAGAATGTAACAGGAGACTTGCTGGTTCTCCAACAAGAACATAAAAGAAGACCTGCTCGCTCCACAACAAGAATGTAACACGAGACCTGCTGGCTCCCCAACAAAAATGTAACAGGAGACCTGCTGGCTCCCCAACAAGAATGTAACAGGAGACCTGCTGGCTCCCCAACAAGAACATAACAGGAGACCTGCTGGCTCCCCAACGAGAATGTAACAGGAGAGCTATTGGCTCCCCAACAAGAATGTAACAGGAGACCTGCTGGCTCCCCAACAAGAATGTAACAGGAGACCTGCTGGCTCCCCAACAAGAATGTAACAAGAGACCTGCTGGCTCCCCAACAAGAATGTAACAGGAGACCTGCTGGCTCCCCAACGTGAATGTAACAGGAGACCTGCCGGCTCCCCAACGAGTATGTAACAGGAGACCTGGTGGCTCCCCAACAAGAACATAACAGGAGACCTGCTGGCTCCCCAACGAGAATGTAACAGGAGAGCTGCTCGCTCCCCAACAAGAATGTAACACGAGAACTGCTGGCTCCCCAACAAGAATGTAACAGGAAACCTGCTGGCTCCCCAATGAGAATGTAATAGGAGACCTGCTGGCTCCCCAACAAGAATGTAATAGGAGACCTGCTGGCTCCCCAACAAGAATGTAACAGGAAACCTGCTGGCTCCCCAACAAGAATGTAACAGGAGACCTGCTGGCCTCCCAACAAGAATGTAACAGGAGACCTGCTGGCTCCCCAACAAGAATGTAACACGAGACCTGCTGGCTCCCCAACAAGAATTTAACAGGAAACCTGCGGGCTCCCCAACAAGAATGTTACAGGAGACCTGCTGGCTCCCCAACAAGAATGTAACAGGAGACCTGCTGGCTCCCCAACAAGAATGTAACAGGAAACCTGCGGGCTCCCCAACAAGAATGTAACAGGAGACTTGCTGGCTCCCCAACAAAAATGTAACAGGAGACCTGCTTGCTCCAAACAAGAATGTAACGGGAGACCTGCTGGCTTCCCAACAAGAATGTAACACGAGACCTGATTGCTCCCCAACAAGAATGTAACAGGAGACCTGCTGGCTTTCCAACAAGAATGTAACAGGAGAGCTGCTGGTTCCCCAACAAGAATGTAACAGGAGACCTGCTGGCTCCCCAACAAGAATGTAACAGAAGACCTGCCAGCTCCCCAACAAGAATGTAATAGGAGACCTGCCAGCTCCCCAACAAGAATGTAATAGGAGACCTTCTGGCTTCCTAACAGAAATGTAAACAAAAGTCAGATCTCTAAAACGAAATGTCCATGCAACATTAAGGTTCCAGAGGTGGACCAACAACCATAACTTTCCGCCTCGGTGTATAGCGGATGAACGCGAGGAAAAACAAGAAGAAAATATTTCAGGTAAATTATTATATTTGTAATTCAACACATTTTTTTTTTTGTATTACTGTAGAAATATTGATACTTAAAAAACTTGAAACTAGAACCTATGCCTCAGCAATCGCCTTTTCAACAGAGGAGAAGAAATCTCAGAACCAATATCATTAAACTGGGACAATTAACATGTCATGTTTTGTACTCCTTAGCAATAATGTATCGATTCCCAATGAAACTTTCTGTGTCGATGTTCGGAAAACAGCCCCTATTCTCTGGAAACAAGGACGGACCTGGTAATAGAAACTTGTACGTCTGGTCAGCATGCCCTGGAATCTGGCTTGTTGTTTCCCTGAAGAGCTGGCAATGAGAGAGAGAGAGAAAGAGAGAGAGAGAGAGAGAGAGAGAGAGAGAGAGAGAGAGAGAGAGAGAGAGAGAGAGAGAGAGAGAGAGAGAGAGAGAGAGAGAGAGAGAGAGAGAGAGAGAGAGAGAGAGGAATGTCTTCGTCAAAAACATAAATCCTGTTGCTCATTCAAAGAAATGCCTGCAGAAATATCACATCTTGACATAAAGAGTCGCCGGTGCATCCCAAAATAATCACAATCTTTCGAAGTGCATTTCATCTAACCTTTCGAAGTGTTTGTTGGAATTGCTAGTGCTGATTCAAAAATTGTAACATAGACCAACGTGGTGCCAACTATACATTTTCACCTCGTGTTGTAATTTGTAAAACTACAAGACAGTTGCCTTAAACATCACATCAAGATCAAAATTGGGGGGGGGGGGGGGAGACCCAGAAGACATGAGCATAAACAGAGAGCCACAAACCATTGACACACCGATCGAAGATCAAAGTCTGAAACAAGTGTAAAATTTTTAATAATTGTGAAGCATCTTTACACACAATGGTTAAATAGACAGAGAGATAGAAACGACAATCCAACAAGCCAACGATATCACGTACCAACTTGCTCCAATTTCAAAACACACAGCTATCCCAATACAGACAAAAAAGACAAATTATAAATATAATATTTATACCGAATTTAGGTTACCAATGTTAGTTGTATACATTGACAAAACAAAACTAACCACGTGTGAGATGAGATGTTCGAGAATGGCTGTGAATA